CTAAGTTATACTAACATGTGTTGATTTTTTATTGAAGAAAAACCATAGAGTAAAATTCCTCCCGCAATTTTTTATTTATTTATTTATCCTTGTTCCAGGTCATTTCCTAGGGTTCTGCGAGGCAATTTCGGAACTAAATTTTTAATTTTACTTTGTATAATCTTTTGGGCATGTTCTTATTGATTTTGTGTGGGTTTGATTGATTTATATGTGTGGGAAATTATTTGAATCTCATGTTTCGTTTAAGTATGGATTTTCTTATTTTGAATGCTAAGATTTTTATTTTTCTTATTAAAAAAAGACGATGGAAAATATTTTATGTGTATATATGTGGGTAATTTTTTTTTTTTTATGTTAATGATTTTTATGAAAGAGTTGGCTATTGAACTATGATCACATGAACATGTTACACTTTGATTTTTTTTTTTGGAAAATATTTTATGTGTATATATGTGGGCAATTTTTTTTTCTTATGTTAATGATTTTTACCAAAGAGTTGGCTATTGAACTATGATCGCATGAACATGTTACACTTTGATTTGTTTTTTTTTTATATATATAAAAAAGATTATTTTGTGATTTAAGTTTAGCTCGAGGGTGATAGATCACTCAATGGGTTTTGTTTTTGCAAGTTAAAAAAATTTTGTTTTTAAAAAAATTATATGTATATATTATTTTTTTCAAAAATATAAAATCGATATATGAGTTAAAAGGTTTCTTTTTTATTCATTTTAATGCAATAAATCATTATTTTACCAATATAGTCGCCCTCCTATTAACTATAAATTTTTTATATATAACAAAATTGAATTCTATTTTTATTTGTAAACACTTTTCTTTTTGCTAATGTTACTGTGTTTATTTTTTTTCATGGATTTTTTTTAATATATAATTTAAGATATTATCCAAACAAGAAAATTTAGACTAGTTTAAGATGATCTTGAAAAACTTATTAAGTATGAGTGGTAATTTTTAGGTATATTTTAAATAATCAAAGAAATAAGTTCAAAGTATAATTTCTAATTTGCTTTCCTATCAGGCCCAATGTGTTTAAAAAATAATGATGGGATTTTATAGTTAGGTTTAGGTCTCAAATTATTTTTATAGGATTTATAATATTTACCAAACATGTATATATCAATTTAAACAAAATTAAGCATAATAAAAAAATTTATTACTAGATTCAAGCTTAATACAGCGTAGGTAAAATACTTTAGGGTCATCTTAAGGAGATTTTCTTCAATCAAATATATCATAGTCGCAAATGGAGACTCCCATTTTTCTCTCATGGCTTCCACATAACAATGCACTACGTGATGTTTTATTTCTTTCTGTTACAGTAGTGATTGAATTAAAAGGTATGTTTAGAAATGTATTTGTAGTTATTTTTTAAAATATTTTTTATTTTTAAAATCAGTATATCAAAATAATTTAAAAATAATAATTAAAAATAAAAAAAATTAAATATTAATTAAAAATAAAAAAAATTAAATATTTTTAAAATATAAAAACAAATAATTCCGAAACCACAAAATAAAATCAACATTGATGGATGTTGATACTTTAACATGCATGGTCGGAAACAGAATCGGTCTAGGCCGGGGATTGTCTCAACGATGGTCCGAGACCTTCATTTAACAAGATATATACATTTAATTTTCATATATATATATATATATATAGATATATATGTTGTTCCAAAGTTGATGATATATCCTTTAACATGGATCGATGATTAAAGATCCAGAAATGGATCTAATTAAAAACAGGGAGGCCACATGGGATGATGCGTTGCTTTCTTGTCTCTTTGGTTATGGAAGAATATGTTGTCGGAAAAGGACAATGAATTTGGTTTCTTCGTCATGGTTGCATTAGGAATACGGACGCCATTATCCTCATTTCACGTATTGCGTTTATGAATCATACATGATTTATTAAAATCAAAGATGGATCCCCTCCCCCCATCATAATAATAATAATAATAATAATAATAAGAATAATAATAAGAATAATAATAATAATCATGATTACAATTATTTTTCATAAAATCAAAACCATAATTTTCTAATAGCCATCTTAATATTTTTTTTTATTTTTAATGATATAATTATAGAATATTAATTTTATACCGTTTGAATTAAAAATTATCATAAAAATAATTATTTAAAAAATATATTATATTATAATAAAAATTAAACTTATGATACAAACTAAATATGAAAATGTATAATTTTTTTTAATATTTTCACATTTCTAGAAATCGCTTGCACATAAAAAAGAATAATTATATTGCTCATATTTTCTTTACTTAGAAAACAGTGGAAAACTTGAATTGAAAACTGTGAAGAACATCTCAAATATATTTTCTAAATTCAATATAATTTTAAAAAACTGGAAAACTAAGTTTTATGGATAGAAAATTAATGTTGCATTCGAAATGGAAGTTTCAATCTTCTTTATTTCCACTCTAATTTTTTTAAAAATGAGAGCATAATATATAGTCTCTAAGTTTCTTCCAAAAAGACATTGTTTTTTTTTAAATTAAATGCTTGCTTTAAAATAAAATTAATATAAAAATTTATTTGATAATAACATTAAAATTTATTTAAGCTTTGATGACTTTAATGGGAGCCATCCCGGAACTCGATTGGTGACCATCACACCGTCACCAACAAACACTAGCTACTGGTCAATCATAGGACTTAGGAGTCATTTTTCTATTTCTTGAAATTGATGTGTGTTTAATTAAAATAATATATAATTTATTTAATAAAAATAATATATAATTATGGTAAAGCTTTATTCTATGACAAAAGAAAATTAATAATGTTTTCCCAGCAATCAATGTATTCCAATCACACTGATTGTAAATAAAATTGTCCATAACAATACACAAATAGTTTGTTGTAATACTACGCAATTATTTCATGATTCTATTTATCATTTGTACAAGGAAGAGACTTTTAAAGAACTATAAATTATAATTTTTAAAAATAACGAATGAAAATGCTATGATATTAACTTTTAAAATATTATTAAATAATTAAAAAATCATAAACATAATCAAAATTCTCATAGCAGTAAAGTAAAAGATACATGATATTACTGGGTGGAATGGCGTCTTACGCCTTCTGCTGTCACGGGTTCGAGCCCTGGAGTTGCATGCCTGTCAGCCCCGCGCTGCCTTACCTGCCTGCTGGGTTTGCAGGGTGTTCAGTGGGCCGTGGGGATTAGTCGTGGTGCGCGTAAGCTGACCCGGACACCCCACGTAAATCAAAAAAAAAAAAAGATACATGATATATTAAAATAATATTTTTATTTTTAAAATTTATTTTTGATATTACTAAATTAAAAATATTAAAAATAATAAAAAATAATAATTTTTTAAAAATATTCAGATTAAAAACAGACACGTGGCAATAAACAGACTAAAATAGTAATTTTAAAAAAAAACTGGATTATAACGCAAATAATTAATAGTTGATTGAATAAAGGGGGAGAAAAGAAATAAAGAATAAAGATAAAAATAAAATAATATAAATTCGGATATGGATTTTTAAATCCCTCCACTGACACAGCACTCCACCAACCATGTAGGACCAACCTGAGTTGAAATGAGGACTTTGTTACCATGACTTATATAAGTCATTGTTTATTTATTTATTTATTTTTGTTAGATAATAGGCTGTTGGTGAAAAAAAAAATTAAAATATTGTTTTCAGGTTTTGTTTTACTGAAAATAAAAAAATAAGTTATCATATTTTATTTTATTTTTATTTTTTATAAGAACAACACAATAGAAAACAGAGGACGAAAACAATAAAAGAGCTAAAAAATCTTGTTTACTAATTTAGTTAAAAATACAACATAAATTTGATTGAAGTTGTGATAATTTGAAGAAGGAAGAAAGAAAACCTAGTGCATGGAGTGTAATAGATGGGAAAATGTTTAGTTTACATATTTTTTAAAAATACATTTTAATTAAAAAAATAAAATTATTTTTTAATTTTTTTTTGTAAAACACAACATTATAGTCCCACCGAAAAAAAAAATTAAAAAAATTGTTGGTGAGTATGATAGGGGTGTTTGGAAGTATAGTAATAATTGTTTTTTTAAGTGTTTTTTATTTGAAAATATATTAAAATAATATTTTATCAACAAATCAAAATAATTTAAAAATATAAAAAAATTAATTTTTTAACATATATTTTTAAACAATAAAAACAAACAATTTTTCTTTTTTAAAAAATCACAAATAATGCCCAAGAATTCTCTAAGGTATAAAAGGTCTCAACTTGCATGCGTTTGTGGGTGGGTGAGTGAGTGGTGACTCGGTAGTTGTTAGTGACAAGAAAAGGCTACGCAGGCTTCAAAAGCAAAGGCCAAAGTGGTACGGCATCGATGTCCCTTACCTACCTTTAAAAGATGGGTTAAAACAAAAAAAAAACAAAGTTGCGGACAGATATCCTTATTTCTTGACTACAGAGCACCACGTGGCTTTGCAATTTTTATTTTTTTCATACGTGGATTTTTCAACTTAGCTTGCATGAACCGAATTAGGTTTTTATATGCTCAACAACATTTCTGAAATAAGATTTATATATTTAGTTTATGGCCATTAGTATTAGCGAGCAGACAAAATTTAACTATAGCTCTTAACTTTTGCTGGGTATTGCATTTTAAATTAGGATTTGGATTTTATTTAAAATTATTTTTTTATATTTTTGTGTAGTTGCCAAAAATAATTTTTTTAAAAAATATTTTAATATATTTTTTAAAATAATTTTTCGTTTAAAAATATATTTAAATGAATTTTTTAAAAACATTTTTTTAATATTGACACATTAAAATCAAAAAAATAAAAATAAAAAACACTAAAATAAACATCAATTCAATGCTTTTTAAAAATTATAAACACTCTACAAAAACAAATTTCAGAAGCACTGCAAACACACCCACCCTTATAATGAATTTCTGTTCTTCCAACCATCTTCCGACAGATAATGGAGGCAGCAGGGCTTGATTCATTAATTGCAAAAGACAAAACACAACTAAATTCAGGGAACAGAGGACAATCATTTGTTATTTCAATGGGCATTCATCATTCCCAATAATAATTTCCCAGATGAAGAGGCAAATTCTTGTACCAAGATAACAATCCAATGGCAAGCCAGTTCTAACCGGGCACCAACTTTATCAAGAAAAGGCAATAGCCCACAATCACGATAATCAACCAGGAAGCAAGAATGGTGGTGATCTCTCATGGTTTCCAGAGGATGGTTGTCTCTGCGATCATGGAGGTCACAACGTAAGGATCCATATTGGAAGCAGGCCTTCTATCCTCGAAGTAACCTTTCCCTTCTCTCTCTGTATCCCTGCCAACTCTTACTGAAGCGCCACGATTCGCCACTCCCTATCAAATGAAGGCAACAACCATTTGAATCTTGAAAGATAATGCTGCAAATATTCCACAACGAAGAAAGATTATTTTACCCATGAGAAGGTGTGGATATCAGCTGTTTCATGACGACCAGTCAGACGACGCTCATTGCCTTCTCCGTAAGCAGCAATGTGCTCCTTATGCCTCAGTTGAAGGTTTCCAATGGCCTTCTTGATAATTTCAAACCCTCCATCATTTCTCATGGACTTGGTGCTGAAACAACCATCACAAACAATTATCAGACGCTCAATTTGAAACGCGTAAAAAAGAAAATCCATGTCTCTCTGTGTAAAGATCATATGTTACCTGTAGTTTGTGTGAGCACCAGCTCCATTCCAGTCACCCTAGCAAAACAAGGCACTCAACAAAGTTAAGAACAGTGCAAAAGCTTCCTAAACAAGATGTTCAAGCCTCTACTCTTGCATCATAAAAGATTTAGTTTCAGATATCAAAATCTAACCGCAATAGGTTTTGGGTCAAAGGAAACGACGACTCCAGCAATTTCAGCGATCCTCTGTTACCATAAAACCACAAGCATATGCATCAGCATCATATTTTGTTTCAAAAAGTTCATATTTATTAGCATGAACAAGAAAAAGTTTATAACAAGCACCTCAAGAATGTAACGGGCAACCCACAACTCATCTCCAGCAGAGATGCCAACAGAAGGGCCAACTTGGAATTCCCACTGTTAAGTTACAGAACGTCAAAGTCTTCAAACAATAATTCATAGCACAAACACTAAAAAACCCTTTGCATAGCTTTCAGAATGCCCCCCAAAATAAATAAAAAAAGTTACGTACCTGGCCAGGCATCACTTCTCCATTGATGCCAGAAATGTTGATCCCAGCATAAAGACATGCCTTGTAATGAGAGTCAACAATATCACGGCCAAAAGCCTTATCAGCACCAGCAGCACAATAGTAAGGGCCCTGTTTTGACAAACAAACAATTGTATTTTCGTTAATAGAGGACAGAAGGACCATTTAAGGAAGTCTGTTGAATAAAAACATGAGACCCCAAAAATGGGAATTGAATTTTTTTTTAGTTAAGATATTATTGCCAATAATTTACGATCGGGAGCTCAAGAATTTAGAGAAAAAGGAGATAATAAAATAGATTTAAAGGAAAGGAAAGGCACATCAAACCACAAAGAGAGGGGGGGGGGGAGATTAACACCTGAGGTCCAGGATAGCCACCAACAGGCCACCCAAGTGGCCATTTTAAATCCTTTTGCAGCAAGGTGTATTCTTGCTCTATACCATACCTACATATTTAAATTAAAATCAAAAGAATTATGATAGAACCCCCTAAATCTCTTAACAAAATAAAAAACGAAAAAGAATATTCACAAGTTAAAATTAAATAGAGAATATATGAAGAACAACTTTGAAAAACGAAGACATGGATTGAATAGATATGTACCAGGGCACCTCAGCAGCAACATCAGGATGGCTGAAAATCTTTGCTGCGTTGTGTCTCTTGTTAGTTGGGATTGGCTCTCCAGCTGGGGTGTAAGCATCACACATCACCTATAAATTTGCAATAAATAAACAGAAATTAAATTCTGAAGAAATATCAATGAGTGAATCGAACGAATTTTATTTGACAAGTGAAAGGGACTTACTAGGATGTTGTTGCCCCTTCTAAATGGATCCTTGAAGATTGCTTGTGGGCTATTTACATGACACCAAAACAAAAGTAAATCCATGCCCAAAAAGACAAGTGCCATTAAAACACACGCACACACGCAGTAAGGGGAGACAGAGAGTCGAGAGATAACTATAAGATGACTTCACTATCTTCTCCAGGAGCTTGGCCAGTGCTTGAACCGTCATAGTTCCATTTTGGAAGCTTTTTAGGATCACTCACCGCTCCAGTGAGTGTCTGTTTCATGTAAATCAACAAACTTTCAGAAAACAACAACTAAAAAGGTCATAATAGAAGCATTAACAGAGAAAATATTGATTACCCTGGCTTTGCTTCTAAGGTCCATACCAGAACCACCGATCCTGCAACATAAGTGACCGATCAAGATCAAGACTTTGAAAGACATTGAAGAAAAGAAGCGAGAAAGATCATTAATGATAGAACTGAAAGAATCCAATAAAAACTGAGAAATAACAGCATAACACCATTTGCAGTAAAAAGAAATGGAAAGAAACATAGCAAGAAAAGGGAAGAAAGACTGTAACGTGGGTGAAAGCGGAAATGATTGATACCATATGTATTCTGCAATGATCTTGTCAGTGGTATCAGAGAGGTTCAAGTTGATGAGATCAGTTAAGAGAGCCATGTTTGCAAGGAGAAAAGGAAAAGCAGAGAGCTCAGCGTTGAAAGCCTTTTCCTTCCTGGCTCAATGAATCTTTAGATGGAGAGAGAGAGAGTTCGCTCCGTTAAGATGGACCGAAGATGAATTTGGATTTATAGCGAGGATTTTGGTGTTCGAAACTATAATAAAATTTTTATATTTGAAAAGAAAATTTAATTTTTTTATTTTAAATAAAATTTTGATCTTAAAAACTAAAAATATATTATTTTAATATACTTTTAAATAAAAATATTTTAAAAAACAACCATTTTCAAAATACAACATCACATTGATTACATTGATTAATGAAATAGTTAGTAAATTTAAGTAATTATAATGAATTTTATAGATTTAAATATTGGAATATGATACAAATGAATTTATTTAATTTATTAGAGTACTGCATATTATACAAAAATATTATATAAGCAACTCGAATTATAGGGATATATAAGAATTTTGCCTAATTATATAATAATAGATGAAGTCATTTATTTATTCTAAAAGAATATTAAAAACATGTATTTAAAATACCATTTATTTTTATCAATTTGTAATACCTAAATCACCTCACAAAGAGACAACTACCACAATAATATATTTATAACATAAACTAACCTCCTACTTAATTGATCAAAATAGTATAAGTATTTAAATAAAACAATTAATGCAAGTATTTAAATAAAAATATTAATAAAATACAAGTACTTTATATGTCATTATCTCTTAAGAAAATAGAAAATATTAAAATAAACTTATTTAATGGAGAGTTAATTATCACGTTATCATCTCGATAACAGTAAAATTAATAAATAGAAAAAAATAAGTGCAATATTAAAATAAAAAGAAAAAAAATACATAATTTAAATACCATTATCCCTCGATCGAGAAGTAAACGGTTTCATTAAAACTTAACTATTTTCGAAATAAAATATAAAAATTGAAGGTGTGGTTAGGTCAGTCAATTGTGAACGGTAGGTGATGACTACAACGTGGGGGGGTTGTTTTCCTGACACCAAACCTCCTAATTTCTATTATTATTCTTTAATTGTGTTTATTTTCTTTTACTCTTTCTGTTTTAAATAATTATTCACGAATTCTTATATAAAAAATAATAATAAAGGACTCGCAAGAGAGTTCTTATTTAACCCAATTAGAAAGCTTGTAGTTATATTTAAGATCAGATTTTATTTTTTATTTTTTTATGGATATAAACCACTCAAATTTGATTATCACAATAATTATCAATTATTGTTCTCGAAGAAATTGTTTTTTATTGTTACATATGTTACTTTTTAAATTATTTTTTATTTGAAAATTTATTAAAATAATGTAATTTTTTATTTATCTTTGACATCACCAATAAAAAATAAAAAATACAAAATAATTCGAATTTAAAATATTTTTAAATACAAAATTAAACTATAATGCCAAACTATACCTAACTCTATCTCCTCTACCTCGTCTTCCATACAAGGATATCTTTAATCAAAAGCAATACATAAAGACACTTATGAAAATTGACTTGGAACCTAACAAAGCATCGTTGGAGATCAGAAATATGAGAAAGAAAAAATATATATATATATATATACACGATTTCATGTTAAATATGCTGTCCGTACATGTTCATGCTCCAAGATATTTTAGTTTTCAGTATCTTGTACCATGAGCAAGTTGAAGTCCTCATTGATGCTAATGGATCCTTTCTGTTTTCTTGATTTATGTTCTCACCTTTACTTTCCTATGAACTCTTTAACAACCCATTAATTGTTTTTACTAACCCTTTAATCATATGATATAAGTGGATTACTTTAGTCTTAATATAGATTACCATTAAACTGCTGAAGAAGAAGAAACGAAAAATAGCTATCAAGACATGTCCTTGTTCCAGGAAAATAATCTCGTGGATCACAAAGACAATAGAGTGAAAGAAAGTAATACAAGAAAATAATATAAATTATATTTAAAAATTTTATTTTATAATTCTGGATAAAGATAGTTTTTAGATATAATATTAGAATCTTGATAACTAAACGGTTATAAATTTAAATCTTATTATTTCTATTTATTTAATAAAAATTAAGCACAAGATAAATCTATATAAATTTTAAATTTAAAAAACTTTTACCTAAAATAAAATTATATCTTGAAATCTTACCTAATAGTTTGAGTTATTGGTTAAAATAATTTTTTTAACAAATAAATATTATACCTGAAAAAAATAAAACTGATGTGAACAGGCTGAGCCGATAAAGTGGATATCTATTTAATAAAATGGTTCTTTAACAAGTAAATGATGTGTTTAAAATAAAATAAAATTAAAGTTGGTTTCAAGAACAAGAATAGCTGAGCCAGTAGAGTGGACAGAAAAATTAAAAGATAGAAACAAGTTTCTAGTTTGATTTTCTTTGCGTGTTAGTATTAATGGTCATGAACCATGGGATATAAGTTATGTTTCACAAACTTTATTTGAGGTATAAAAACCTAGTCCGGTACGTTCAAGCTGATTCAAAATACACTATATATATATATATATATATATATATGACAGTCTCTGGGGTGTACG